GGGGGAAGCATTAGAATTATTAAGCGGTTTAGAAAATAATAATGTGGATTTAATTTTCCTCGATCCCCAGTATGAAAAAGTATCCACAGTCCTTAAACTAGATTACCCTCTTTATCCCCAATCTGATTATCAAATAATGAGAATAATGGAACAAGTAGGACGAGTTTTGAAGCCCAGTGCTTTTTGTCTTTTATGGATAAATAAAGGACTATTAGGAAGCGATAGGATTGCGGCTTGGATGATTAAGGCTCCTAATTTGAGGATTGTTGATTGTTTAGTTTGGTATAAGAAGAATACTTTGGGATTAGGGACTTGATTGAGAAGTAATGCGGAATTCTGCTTCTTATTACAAAAATATCCTACTACTGGTAAAAGATTTACTAATCGTAGTTTTGGAACGGTCTGGGAAGAGAATAGTTTACCCACTAAGCAGAGAAAACATCCGCATCAGAAGCCTAAGGAATTGATTAGGGCATTGTTGGAAGCAACTACAAAAGGGGGTGATTTAGTGGTGGATCCTTGTGCGGGGAGTTTTATTGTTTTGGAGGTGTGTCAGGAGTTGGGGAGAGATTATTTAGGGTGTGATTTGACTTTTAAAGAAATGTCAAAATTTCAAGAAGAGAGAAATTAACTGGTTCTATTTTTTCACTAATATCACCATGGCACCTTTTTACCTGCTTTTTTCATCTTTTTAATTTGCCGGTGCCTCCAAATGAAATAAGGAATTAAAACAATAACAAATACTACTCCCCCAATTATTCAAGGAAGATAAGATTGATTGTTAGTTTTACCATCAGATTTACTTTCCTGTAAAATCCCATTTTTTCACACTTGAATATTTTTGCTTTTACAATATCAGCAGGTAGAGTGAGGATCTTTATTTTTGTCAGTTTCATATTCTACACCACAATCAAGACAATTTACTACATAATCAGAAGTATTTTGACTTCTTTGCTGAGATTTGTTAGTTGATGGATTGTTTATTATTTGCTTTTGAATTTCTTTTAATTCCTTTTTGCTTTCTTCATCAATATTGAGTTTATCGATATCTATTGGTTCGCCTTTCTTAATTTTGACTAAGGC